GGGCGGGCTGCACACGCCGGCGGCGCGCCGCGGCCAATCGGCGCCCGCTGCCCCGCCCCCCAGCCAATCGGCGCAGGTCTCGCGCCCCCGCCCCAGACCCCGACCAATCGGCGCTCGCGTCCAAACCCGTGCCCGCTCGCGGCCCGGCAGCGGCGGACCTCAGCTCGGGCCGGGAGGCGGCAGGAGGCGGCGGAGGCGGCGACCGGAGAGTAGCGTCAGGGCCTCCGCGTCTCTCCAGGGACCAGACCGGTGGCCGAGGCAGCTGCTGGACAGCGGCTCCCAGGAGTTGGAGCGCTGCGACTCCCGAGCGCCCGGTAGAGCGCAGAGAGGAACTGGCCGTAGCCGACGGGACGGCGCTCAGAGGTAGTTGGTTCTCTCCCGGGCGCCGTAGGCATCAGGTGACCGGGTTCCTGCGGAGTCACGTGACTTCGGGGTCGCCCGGCCGGGACATGGCAGCCCCCAGGCCGTTGTCCCGCTTCTGGGAGTGGGGAAAGAACATCGTGTGCGTGGGCAGGAACTACGCGGAGCACGCCAGGGAGATGCAGAGCGCCGTGCCGAGCGAGCCGGTGCTCTTCCTGAAGCCGTCCACCGCCTACGCCCCCGAGGGCTCGGCCATCCTCATGCCGGCCTACAGCCGCAACCTGCACCACGAGCTCGAGCTGGGCGTGGTAATGGGCAGGCGCGGCCGCGCGGTGCCCGAGGCCGCGGCCATGGACTACGTGGCCGGCTATGCCCTGTGCCTGGACATGACCGCCAGAGACGTGCAGGACGAGTGCAAGAAGAAGGGGCTGCCCTGGACCCTCGCCAAGAGCTTCACGGCGTCCTGCCCCGTCAGCGCGTTCGTGCCCAAAGAGAAGATCCCCGACCCTCACAACCTGAAGCTCTGGCTCAAGGTCAACGGCGAACTAAGGCAGGAGGGTGACACGTCCTCCATGATCTTTTCCATCCCCTACATTATCAGCTACGTTTCTAAGATAATGACCTTGGAAGAAGGAGATATTATCTTGACCGGGACGCCAAAGGGAGTCGGACCCGTTAAAGAAAACGATGAGATCCAGGCCGGCATACACGGGGTCGTCAGTATGACGTTTAAGGTCGAAAGGCCAGAGTACTGAGTCTGTACAAAGCACCCGGACTTCTTAAGTTTCAGGAGAGAACGGAGGTGGACAGAAGAAGCAAGCAAAATTGTTAAATGCAACGATGCTTTAATAAGAAATAATTTTTAAATATGACTTAATTGGGTTGTTAGGACTTAAGGAAGACGGACTCTTCCAGGAAAACGTGATCGAAAAGCTGGGCCAGAAATGGAAAGAACGATTGTCTTTTAGGAAAAAAAACAAAAACAAAAAACAAAGTTTTCGTGAAGCTTCCAAAGAGGAGAATTTATCAAACTAAATGTTCAGAGGCCTTACTTTCCTTTCCTAAAACCAGACTGGATACGACTTTTCCGTGAGTCATTCTGGGATCAGGAATTCAACACTGAAAATCGGCAAAGGAAGTTGAAAATCATGTTTTCTAAAATTCCTTGATCACGATAACCATCTGGAGGTATTGTAAAAATAAAAAATTCCCACCTTACTGACACATCCCAGGCCCACCATATTAATTGGCAGAATTAATCTCCAGCATTCCAAGTGATTCTTATCACGGAACTGGGGAAAACCACTGCTCCACATAATCAGTTAATTTAAGATTGTAATACGTGACCAATTAATGATGACCTCACCCATCTGTGCCATGGCCCATAGATTCTGAATTTGGGAGATAATTTTGAAACGATTATTTTCCAAATAAATATGCTATCTTTTGTTTGGCCTTAAAGTGTACTTTTTCTCCTCCAGTAGTGGCTAGGAAGGACGCTTTCGCATGAAGGGGCTTCAAACCTTGATCATTGCTCTTTGGCCTCTGGAGCACTGTGCTCTATTAACAGAGTTAATCAGCAGCTCCACCTCCAGCCAGACACAGGAGGCTTCGGGGAAGTTGAATGGCCTGGGAGAGCTACTCTTGTTCCTGCCTGCCCTCCTGGGACGGAGAGTCTCGGCAAGACGCACAGTGCCAGCGTCCGCCGGCCGCTCCCAGAAAGCTGAGGACATCTCATTTAATAATAGCTCACGTTTATCGAACCCTTAGTACTGCTAGGCACCGTGCCAAGAGCTTTCCGCGTATTACTGAACCCTCAGCAAAGCTGTGAGATTGCTCTGCCTGCCGTCCCTGTCGCACAGGAAGATGGGGATTCAGAGGCTAGCCGGCCTGGCTCCACAGTCACTCAGCTGAGGGAGAGAGCCGTGCTCTAACCCAGCTTTCCTAAGACCAGAACTTGAAGTCTTGACCACAAGGCAGGCTGCATCTTGTAAGCAGATCTACAAGAAGACTCAGACGTTTAGGTATTACACAACCCCCACATTTAATTCCACACTTACTGTGAGGTGCCGGGATTGGACTTGTTTACTAAATGTCACGCTATCTTAACTTCTTTTCTAATCAGGTTTCTTATTGTAACTGCTTAAGCAGTATACGCTTATTACAGAAGAGGTAGGGAACATGAATAAGCAAAACACCCAAAATTTCTTTCACCCAGAGCCAGCTACAGTGAAGCATGCAGTCTACCTTCTTCCAAACCTGTGGATGACATTGTAATTTTTAATTTTTTTAAACATTTATTTATTTTTAAGAGACAGGGTGAGACAGAGCACAAGCAGGGGAGGGGCGGACACAATCCAAAAGCAGGCTCCAGGCGCCGAGCTGTCAGCACAGAGCCCAACATGGGGCTTGAACTCACAGACTGCTAGATCGTGACCTGAGCCAAAGTCAACCGACTGCGCCAGCCAGGCGCCCCTGTGATTTTTTTTTTTTTTAACGTTTATTTATTTTTGGGACAGAGAGAGACAGAGCATGAACGGGGGAGGGGCAGAGAGAGAGGGAGACACAGAATCGGAAACAGGCTCCAGGCTCTGAGCCATCAGCCCAGAGCCTGACGCGGGGCTCGAACCCACGGACCGCGAGATTGTGACCTGGCTGAAGTCGGACGCCCAACCGACTGCGCCACCCAGGCGCCCCAGCCCCTGTAATTTTTTAAAAGAAGATCTGCTCATAACACAATTTTCTAACCTGTTTTTCTCACCGTACATTGTGACTGTGCTATGTCGGTTGGCACATTTCTGCAGTCCTGATTTCAGTGACCGCGTAAGACTCTCAAGTCCATCCCCCCATTGTTGGCAATTGAAATCGTTTCTCATTACTTGCTAGTAGAGTGAGCACGTTTGCAGTTATTTCATCCGGCTGGTTCTCCTAAGGGGAAGAGCTGACTCAAGGGCCCGCTGGTATTGAAAGTGTGTCAGTCTAACTAGGTTAGGATACAAGGTTCAACTGAGACGGGTCCATCGGGCTGACAGACCTTCAAAGCCAAAAGGTAGGAGGGAGGAGCAGTGCTCACATGCAGCGCCCAGTGGCACAAGCCAGCTCCCAGGGAGCGCAGGGTGCCCCTGAGGTCAGCGTCCACCGCAGTGGTGGCATGGGCTTTGTCACAAACGGCTGACAACAGCATTGCACGTATAGCACAGAAAGTCCTTGGCTGGGAGAATAAAACACGGAAAGATACCAATTCCCACAATTCCTGCTCTTGCTAAAATCACTGTAAGCCCAGGAGGCATATTCCCCCCAACTTTTTATTTTGAATAAACTAAACCTACCAAAAAGTTGAAAGACTAATACAATGAGCTCCGTACACCCTTCGTTAGATTCGGTAATTGTCAATATTGGCTGTTTGCTCTCCCCCTCTGCCTCCACACAGACATATGCCTAAGCGCACTTGCGTTGGAAAACTGCAAACGGCAGAAGCCCTCTACCCTTCCAGTGCGCATCTCGTACAGACAGGGACCTTCTACACACAATACCGTCAGCACCCTGAAGGGAACAATCCCATGCGGTAGTAGTTCCTGTAGAACCTATGGTTCACGTTTGTTCTTTTGCGCTTTTTCTTGAATGTTTCTTGAGCTTTTATAAAAAATGAATACATCCACTTGATAGACTATGAAACATCATTCCAGGTCAGTGAATACAGATTCCGTAATCCCTTTCTATGGCTGGTACTATGGCAGAGCTGAGTGGGGTTCTTGTTCAGGTGACTTACTGAAGGACCACCCTCAGGAGAAAAGTCAAGAGGAACCACAAAAGGCAGAGAGCAAACTAAGAAAGAACGTGGTGGGCTCGGAGCTAGAGGCGAGCTTCAGTGCACTGGCCGTCCCAAGGGGAAGTCACTGCTGGGACCTGCCCCCACCCTTCCCATGACTTCCCCAGGTGGTTCTCCGCCTCCCAGGGAAGCTGAGGGTTGGAGATGTCTACCTGGACGTGAAGGGACCTGGCTGAGGCCCGACGGCCCCGGCAGGCTGCACACGTTTCAAATGTTTTGTTATTGGAAACACAGTACTTGAGTAAATCGGATACTATAGGTAAAGTGTTTGTTACAATATGTCACGTAGAAAGCACCGATAATGTCAGCTATTGGTATTATTGTAGCAATTTAATGTCCAGAACCTCATCCCAAGGAAATAAGAATGTGGACACTTAGCTATAGCTGGTGTTTACAACAGCAAAGCTGGGGAGCACCTAACATGTCTAGCAGTACTGGGGAGATGACACTCAGTACCCTACACTCCTGTGATGAGAGGATATGCGGCCATTGAAGTTGTGTCCAGTAGTAAGTGATCACAAAGTTCCCAGTGTGGAAGCAGATTATAATGTAACCTGCGTTTGCAAATTGTATGTTTTCACAAAGAAGGACGGATACGTGACAGGAAAGACGTACAGGAAAATGAGAAGTGCTTGTACACGCACACCTGTAACAGCGCTGACTGGCTGACCACAAGAGCCAACGGTGGGAACAGCCCAAGCGTCCATCGACAGATGAGCAGATTAGCCTCCCTTCCATCCACACGGTGGAAACTACTCAACCATAAAAAGGAATGAGACTGACACATGCTGTAACATAGGTGAACCGTGAAAACATGATGCTCGGAGAAAAAGCCAGACACACAAAGTCACATAGTGTATGAAGCCCCTGGAAGAGGCAAGCTCACAGAGATGAGGTAGATTAGAGGTGCCCAGGGGCTGGGGGTGCAGAAATGGGAGTTCTAGTCTAATGGGGGCAGAGTTTCCGTTCGGGATGGTGACCACCATCTGGAAATGAATGGTGGTGACAGCAGCACAACATTGTGAATGTATTTAATGCCACTGAACTGTAAGCCTAAAAATGGCTAAAATGGTGAATGTTATGTGATGTATATTGTACCACAAAAAACAACAGCAAAAACACACACACAAGAAAAGAATGCATCACACACCAGGGAAAGACTTCGGGGGCTGGAGCTTAGGGCTTTCCCCGTTTGTTATCTAGTATTTTCTAATTTTTCTACAATAAACACGTCAAACTTTATAACAAAATATAGTTCAAAAGCAGAAACCACCCCAGGGTTCCTCAAGATGAGTGACAGACGGACACACGGACACCGTGTTTCTGCCACGTGCACAGTATCAGGCAAATAAACTCACCGGCACAGCATTAGGAGAGGAAGATCTTCCCGAA